CTTAAAAATGTGACAAAAGCCAAAGCCGGACTGCAGTCAGTACCTAATTTGTGCATCGCTCATTTAGGCCCGCTGTGGAAATTTACCATATAGCATTCCTATTCTGCGCATTCTACGCGATATGCAAATGAAGTCGGCCACGTTTTTCGCCCTCCCACAGTGGGTACGTCTGTCGGTTGGGATGCCCGGATTTGCGTTCCCGTTCACCCTCATCTATTGTCTATTTCTTTTCCGTTTGTAGGCACTCGAGCTGTTGGTCGAGAAGGTTCTCAGTTCGGCGAACTTCTCCAACTTTCCGCCGTCACCAGTCGATGCCTTCCGCCGAGTGTTCGAAGCGTTGGCCTCCGGAATCGTGTTGTCAGGCAAGGAGAAGACCGCGACTACACGCCCGGTCGCTAGCTTTTCTCTCTACCGTTTCCACGGTCTTTTGCTTTTTTCAGATGGTCCCGGTCTGCTGGATCCTTGCGAGAAGGAACCCGTTGACGCCTTGGCACAGATGACTACGCAGCAACGCGAAGACGTCACATTCAGTGCACAGGTAAAATTTTATTTCCATGGTAGAAAGAATTTAGAAGGTCATCGCTTGACTGCAAGCCACATAAAAAAATATCTGCTTAAATTCTCTACGAAAAATTTCTACATTACGGCGGCAGTGCACTTTTCACTTTTAGAGAATTACGGGTCATTTAAACAGTGTACGACTCTATGGTGTCGTGCATCTTATCATTCATGGTTCAGAAGCCAGTACTTCGTGTGTTTTACTTGGAATGCGTGAATTTAGTACTCACCTAGGTATTACACTGGTTATTAAACTGTGGCAAGACGTCATCTATGGACTGTCGGTACTTCAGAAAGCAGCGTGAAAATATTGACTACTTTAATTTACTCATCCATTTTAAGTAATAAACAATAGTGTATGATAAGCAGTACCGCAGTAAACGTATTTTAAATTGAGATCTCCGTCCCATGTATGGTCAAACATCCATGAATGCATAACTTTAGCGTGAATCCAGTTCGCTGAGCAAAATTCTTGTATTGTACCACCTCAAAGGGTATGGACTATCTAAACTAATTGACTGACAGTTATTATTGTATCACACATTTAGTACCTTAAAATTATATTCGCTTCATGGAATATTGTGCTACAGCTTAATCCGTAGTGATCTCGAATCAGTGATGGTTATCTCTTTTGAAGTTATGATTTTTCACATGGAAGCTCTCCATGCCCGAACAGTAATTTTGGCTGTCAAGATGACTTTCTGATAGTATTGTTGTCAAACGTACGTTTGTGCAATAATCTGAAAGTCGACCCCTATATAGTTTGAGCTTTTATCAAACCAAACCATACCAGATCATATCAAACGTACTTGTACGTGGATTATGCATTTTTTCTTTAGATGTGCATATGATAGTTAACGCCGCAATACAGGATTGTCAGCAAGATGACTGATATTTCACTTTTTTGGGGTAACACGTTGTACTAATTTTCACCCTTGATAGTTATCCATCAGATGAGTCAAGGACAAGAGCAGCCACATGAAGCGCTTGTATCAGAGAGCAGTTTTTTCGTTCGCCTATTTTGATTTGACCATTCCAGAAATGTCATTCTATCCCTGTTGTTCGCAAGTCATTGACTTTCTACCTGTTTCTCGGCTGGTTGCACCAATGTAGCATAGAGCTTCGTTGCTCAAGGAAATACTCGGTTGAGAGATTTTCCTCTCTAGATTCAAACTTGGCACCTCCAGAGGTGCGATGTCGATCTATTTGCTGCTTTGCAAAGTGTTTACGATGTGTCTGATGTCTAGTGCTTGATGAAGAGCTGTCTGCTCATGTAAGTATTTTGATCTTAGAATCTTTACCTCTGCAATGAAAGTAAGGTTCCTCGTCGACTACAGGCCTGGGTTTAGTTTCCCCCTCATACGATAT